ACTCTGAATGCAGCTTTTGCACCTTAGCACAAGGCTAGCAAAACTTCCTGAATTCATTAATTAACAAGAAATGGTCACACTAGTAATTTTTTATGATGATGCAATAGAAAGAAAAAGAAAAGGAAGGAAGAAAAGTGATAAATTAATCCCTGAAGTTTTTTTAGAAGTGAATTGTGACAGCTGAGTACAGTAACTTAGAATCTGGAAGTGAAAAGGATCAAAATGGGTCAGTTTACGGTATGTCACAACATACCCCTGTCTGGAACCTCTGGTCCTTCTGATGTTGTGCTTGCCCCAAAAAGCCATGCTCGTGGACTTACTCATTAGCAGTAAACAAACTGTCTGACCAACATCTCAGCGAGTGGGTACCATGCTGCTGTGATATCAATGCCCCTCAAAGCAGTCTTGGTTTTGAATGAATCCCCTTGGGACACCTAAGGATAACTATAGCATTAAGGATCATGACCTTCAGGAACGATGCATGTAGGTTCTCTGGTGAGAGTTTTTGCCTCACCAGAGATTAGTTATCAAGCTGTGCTCTGTACTAGGACTATGTCATCATTATGTTATGAGACTCAGTACTAGAAGCCTCAAAGATGGTTCTACGACCATGGGACCCCTCTAAGGCTCAACAGCTGCTTGGGAGACACAGGATCCACTTCACTACATGAGGCAAAAGGATCTTTGCCAATAGGCCGACCAACTTCATATGGAGAGCTTTACTCTAGAAATTATGTGGGAGGGAATAAGGAAACTGGGGATAGGGTAGACAAATCAAGAGGCTGGGATGATGGGAAGAGAAGGGACATAGCAATTCACAAAGAAACTGAGCTGAAGTGTAATTCCTTTGACCATAGGCATGTAGAGAAGGAAGTTCCCATAGAACAGCCTTGTGGGAAAGCTCTCAAGCAGCACAGAACCAGCACACTTGGATGCCCCTCAGAGGTCTCTAATGCATGCAGCATGGGGAAGACTGTGTGCAGTTACAGAGTTACAATCTCATTGGGATCATGCAGTAATGGTGCGATAGCTCACAAAACTGCGAGTGCTGGGATGGAGGGATACAGACTCTTTAGCAAGAAGGTGAGAAAGGGTGTTGCCCTTTATTGAGAGAGTAGCTGGAATGCATGAAGCCCTGCCTTTGGACAAGTCAGAAGTCAGCTGAGAGCTTTTGGGTCAAGATTTGTGGGCAGATCAATATGCTGTTGTACTGGGTATCTGCTCTAGATCAGGAAGCAGTAGATAAGGCCTTCTTTACACAACTGGAAGAAGCTTCACATTCACAGGCTCTGGTCCTCAAGAGCGATTTTAGCTACTTCAATACCTGCAGGTATCTGAACACTGTCCCCTCCCTCTTTTTTCTGTGAAAGTGCTCAAATGCTGGAACAGGTTGCTCAGGTGGGCTGTAGAGTCTCCATCCTTGCAGATAATCAAAACCAGACTGAAACTGGTCCAGGGCAACCTGCTCTAGGTGGCACTGTTTGAGCAAGAGGATTGGACTAGTTAATCTCAAGAGCTGCTTTCCCACCTCAACCACTCCGTGGTCTTGAAATGTTTAGTTCTATTTAATTTGATTCCTTATACATTTAAAATACAAATATAAGGCCTCACCAATGAACATATGCATTGCAGCTTTATTCTTGACACACAGGCCCAGTGCAAACCCATTTTCTCCAACTGAGTGGTCTCACTGAGATCAAATTAAGCAAAGCATATTTAGGACTGTGGCCCAGCACAGTCATTTTCCTAAACATGCATTTTATTTCACCTTTGTTTATCCAGAAGATCTCATTTGTATTAAAAGAACTTCCATTTCATATAGAAGGTCAAAGGTTCACTGATCTGTTATTCCAAGGGCAAAGCTTCTCCCAAACTGAAGGTATATTGAAAATTTAAGCAATGTAGATGAAAATAATAGGCAGTATATATCAAGTTAGAAATCTTAACTATGTTTTTTTTCTTTAAGTTTCCCAGTGTGGCAACACTGGCCAACAGACATCTAGTAAATTGCCAGTAAAATGTCCTGTATCACAGCTAATGCATATAAATAATAATAATATATAATAATGGCCAGTCTTCGCGAGCGAAGATTTGGGAAAGGTCATTAACCCTTCGAGCCTGCGCAGTGGATTTTTTAGGTGAGACACAGCGTGCGCTGAACTGAGCCCACCCTTTAATCCTGAGGTTCATCTGCCGGGGCCGAGTGAAACTCGGACAGTGGCAGTGAGAGTCTCAGAACGTAGGTTTGTTTAGAGTGACCTTCTCTTAGATGGATTGCCTCACAGGGCTAACGAGCTCCATCTGCCCGGGGGGCCGGGAATCGAACCCGGGTCGCAGCGGTGAGAGTCCTGCACCCTAACCACTAGACCACCAGGGGCCCCATATAAATATATATCACTGCAGAATGGCAAAATGGTAGAATTTCTATTTATATAGGGTGCTCAACAGAGGCTATGTAGACAGAACAATATTTTAACATGTCTTTCAAAATGGAGAGTGTCTGTTGTTTACCATCTCTAGTGAATTTTAACATAAAAACACTCTTCGTTATTCCTATCTTTCTGACACATTTCACCTCTCCATTTCACCTACTTATCAAAAAATTACCCTACACCTGACACCACAAGACATAAAAAACTACCTTCAACCACAGCATTTAATTGAGAGTGTTTGGCACAAGGGGCTAGGAAAGCACTGACAGTTCACAAGCTGTGGTAACAACAGTAATGCTTAAACACCTACTGTAGGAAAAGAGATTTCAGTAGCACAGTTTCTCATTTTCTTTGCTGGTTGGCAGAAGGCAATACACACAGAGCAGTCTTTGGATAGAATCACCACAGAATCATAGAGTTGTTTAGGTTGGAAAAGATCAGAGATGCAAATACAACTTTGAGAGGGAAAACACTGCAGAGCACTGCATATTAAGATACCTTTAAGTAACACTTAATTTTGGGTTCGGTGCTTGCCAACAGAAAATGCCTGGTTACACGATATTTTCACAAAAAAGATGAAGATTCTGTGTTGCAAAACAGGATGAGAAGGCACAGTGTGGAAAACAAGACACTTTAAGCAGTCACAAAGCATAATTGACAATAAAGGTGAAATATAAAAACAAGAAGGAAAAGGCAGTAGCAATTCCAACCCACCTATTACATTTAAGTTCTAGATTGAAATTTCAGCAATAATTTCTCAGCTGTGGCGAACAAACACAACACATAGCAAATTGGTCAGCATATTATGTTTTCATCTCATTCCTGACCATGAAAACATGCACCTTTGTGTCACACAAAATTCATTGGAGGATCAAGATCTCTTGTCATAAACTGACTGAGATGACAAACTTCTCCCAGCAGGAAGCTAGGGTTCTGGGCAAAAAGGGGATGAAAGAAGCACAAAAGGGCACAGAGGACTTCATTCTTTCTTAGGTGAGAAAATGCTAAAAAATGTATGTACGGTAATAATGGAAAAATATTCATAACTTTCTTTTATTATTCTCTGATGCATTTCTCAAAGCAAAACTATACTCTTCTTCAAAAGAGTTGCCCTAACTACTCTAGGTTACCAACCTTGTATGCTACGGACACACTTCTCAGGAAAATGAAAACTCAGGAAGTGCACTAACAGTCTATTACTGTACAACCTAAAGCATATATTGTTCCTGGGGGAAACCTATCAATGACCCCATTTGAAGACAAGATTTTCTTCCTTTCACTGCTATCTAGCATGAATACATAACTTCCTCAGAAAAAAAACCACCAAAACTCCTAGGTAGATTATTAAATTGCTTTCTAGGCACTCGCCATGGTAAAACAAATTTCCAACACTTAATATAATTGCAGCTTCTGAACTTAGACCGAATCTGGCTAGTATTTTAAAAACAAGTGTCAGTTTTATTTGTTTTGGAAGATGAAAGATTAATTAGAACAACATCTATGCAATGGCAAATCTCCCTTCCTACTTATCTCTGTAATGATCCATATAGTGCCTTGGTTTTCTTCCTTTCAGTTGTACATTCCTCAGCAACACTTAGAATGCACAAACATATCTAGTCATAAACTTTTATTAGAATTCTGTTGAAATACCAGAATTGCAAATAAATTATGCTAAATAATGAGGAAGTTAAATGATTCTACACTGAGCCACTGACTTCTTGGCAGCTATTTGTTTAAGTGCCTGAAGGAGTAATTATATTGCCTCTGGAAGCTTAGTTTAAACCAACCAAAACCCTAAGCCCTAAATTTTAAGAAAATAGCAAGAACTATATGCAAACTCCCAGGAAAAGGATGATAAGTAAAGCTACTGATCCATTAAGAGAATGTAATAACCATGTTTTAAACATAGTTAGAAGACTTTCAGGACTAGCAATTACAGCAACAACTTTTGTTCTTTTAGATTGTCCTCATCTCCCTGCTCCACACATTGTGTTTTTCTCTAAAAATTAAGACAATTTTAAGAGTGTGACAACCAACATTCCACAACAGGGACACACTGCATGAATATCAAGGAACAAAAATGCATGTAAGCAGGCAAAAAGTTTTTCAGGGGAACCATAAAATGCAATTATCATTGTTTTAGCATTTATAACTCATAGAGTCCAAGTGGCCTGGGAGAATACTTAATGGAAAACAGCACTCACAACAATAAATTAACAATTATGGAATGCAGACAATGCATTCCCAGATTACTTTTCAGTATGAAAAGTCCTGTCACAAATCCATTTTAGGACTCAATACAGAAGGATGAAAAACAAGGAGAGCAATCTCTGAACACTGACCAATTTCAGTCTCAGGTGAACATGAAAGCAAGACATATATTCTAATTAATGATAGTTCAGGTATTTCAGAGTGAAATGTGAAGAGAAAATAGAAGTCACATCTTAAAGACTAAGCTTTTCAATAGACAGATTACCAGATTTACCAGATTTTTTAGTTAATATTTTTACTCTTTTGCGAAGTACTTTTGTAGCAGATAAATAACATCAACTGAAAAATAAATCTTACCTGTTTCCTCTTTTCAGGTGGAAGCGATGGATCCCCATCCTACAAATAAATGGACATATTCTATTGGCAACTTATTTCTCAAACCAGCAACTATATTAATTCTGTGGATCAAATTTTAAAACATGTATTTTAACTAAAATGCTATCAAAATTGTTTCTAAAATACTGCTGATGAATACCAGTAATACTAACTTCAACTCCAAAAGATTTCTAAGGTTGAGGATTCATTTACATTTCTAGAACAGCAGGTCATTACCAACTGATGTTGAACTATTTTTCATAATGGTACATTAAGTTGCTGTGGAATAATAATACTGCAGTCAGTTTTTAAATAGAATTATGACTGAAAGTAATTTCTTCAGAGCACGCACTGTCTTTTTGTGTCTTATATAATAAGCACTACCTCATCAATGCAGAACAAATGAGTAATAATATGATCAGGGCTGTACAGCTGCAGGACTACTGTAAATAAGTACCTAAACAATTTTTGCAGCAATTATTATGGACTTCTTTCCATTTTTTTGAGGTTCAACTTTGTCCCCCAATTATACAGTGTTCATAAAGAACAACCTACAATCAGCTCCCGATACTTCTTTTTCAGAGACTGGTGTCGTTCCCGCAACTGGTTGGCCATAAGCTTGTACTGGTCTCTTTCCTGTTGACAGGTGTCTAGCTCTTTGGAAAGGATTAGCAATGCCTCCTTTTTACTTTCGAGCTTCCTTTTGCACACCAGATACTGCAAAAGAGAAAAAAAACATAAATGTAACAAGCCATTTCTACCCCAGCCAGTACAGGATACAAGAGGCTCAAGTTCTCTTAAAAGAATGGAGGAAGACTCTGCACAAGATCAAAGTCTGTCACAAGTCGTCTTAGATTATTAACAATAATCACGGGAAATATATCTGTTGTATTGGAAGCCTGAAATAATTTGTAAGGTTACACATTCACCTGACCACTGTGAGTTAGAAAAACTTTGCAATTCGAGTTTCTCCTCTTTTTCCTCACACGCAGTAGTATGAGGAACCTTACAATTTGACCAGCAGCCCTGGGAAGGCTGCCAGAAGGAAGAAGCACTTGCAAACTCCCTTTTCTACTTGTGTTCACAATACCCAGCTCTCAGGCAGCAACCAGCCCTTCCCACTTCACTTCCCACTGCCCTCCTCTTCCTCACTACCAGCAGTGTCCTTTGGGCTCTGAACACTGAAATGGGACCATGTTACAGGAGAAGGGGTAGCTTGAGCATTAACCAAATTTACCTTGAGTCTGAAACGACTACAGTGTGACACCCTATTGACACAGCTAAAAGAAACTTAATTACTGTGTGATACTACAAGGCATGTGCTTGTTGAGGCAAAAGAATAGGAAATAATGGAAGAATGCTGCAAACACCTAAATGGGGAGGGAAGGGAGAGGTGAACCTTCCCCTCCAGCCACCGCCTTTCATGTGCAGGGCTCATGCACAAAGCAGAGCAGAACTTGCAAATCTAAGGTGTTCTGCATTAGTCCGATGTGCTTCGTTGCCTTTCCCCATTGAGAGGAAGAGAGTAACGTGTATGTCATCCTCAATGTTACCTATCAGAACTTTCAGGTAACTTCTTTCCCCTAACGCGATGTTCAATCAGCAGATTATTCTCACCCATCACTGGACACTGCTCACGCTAAAGCATTTATTTCTATTTCTGATGTTACTGACATACAACGTGGCACTAAATACTTTCTGAATGTGCTCTGCAAGAGACCAAATACCACAGCAGTCATGAAAACAATTTATAGTTTCATTATATCCTCTGACAAGAATACTTTGTCATTATGGGCTCTCGCACAAAGCAAGAGCATCAGCACTTCCGTACTTTCAAGTCAGTGCTGTTCTTTGGGACAGAAATCATTATTTGTATGTACTACTTGCTTGGAATTAACTTTGTTAACCTCAGTTTCAAGTCAATGAGAAAGGGAAAAGTGAGTTTGGTATATTAGTACAGCCAACCTTTTCCAAAAATGGTAAATGCTTAGTTGCAAAAAAGTGGGAAGGGAACGAGAAAAGCAATTCCAAGAAGGATTTGAACTCTCAAAAAGGACACATCCACCTTGGCTTAAGTTTATTTCTGGCAATACTGAAGTTGAAATCCTGCCATAAATTTTCTGGATTATGATGCCTTGGCATCAACAAAGGCAACTGTACCTATGTACTTATGTCCTTACTGATACCTTACACAAATGTCAAATCCCCTGATAAAGCACTGAAAGGTATCAGAAGCTAAACTTTAATATTGTCAGCAAGTGAATATAGTGACATGGTAAACTGCTTCAAACTTGATAAAATAATTCCTTCCCTTACAGTGAAATATTTACCTCTGACAATCTCTCTTCTTCTATTTCCAGTTTCATCCAACGTCTTAGTAATTCTAAAGTATGCCTTCACTAAATTGTTTTAAAATACTAACAATCTGATAGAGTAATTGCAAATAAAAATAAGTAAAAGCAAACCCCACAATCACTTCAAAAAAACCCAACAGCCTAAAGCCCTGAACCAAGTAGCCTGTCCTGTTCCTTTAACCAGCAGGAAGAATGCAGCAGGTCTATCAGCCAACACCTATGCAATGTACACAATGGGAGTGGAAAGCAGCCAAACATGTCACCTTAATACACCCACAGCGCCAGCAGGTGCCTCCAAGCATTGCCTCCATTGCCGGTGTATGAAGGAGTGTATGACAGTCGCAAGTGAACTAGAGCATATGGATAAGACTACAAACCCCAGTACTTAGGAGACAAGAAATACAGACCTAGCACCAAACAAATCTTGTTTCTGCCATGAGTCACAGCCCTTCACAACAGACACATTCAGAGCATAAAAGAACGCTTCACCTTTCACAGCAGCACTGGTGGGGCCAAGGGAATTCTCCATTATCTGCTAGGCTGTGGATAACAAACTATATGAGGATTGTGAGGGCAATTGCATTCAGGGTCTAAATGAAAAGGAATAATTATGTCCTCCTTGTTCAAATTATATTTTAACTTCATGAATTATATACTGATGATGTGCTATACAGACAGAAGGGGTTTGGCATCTCCCATCAATGTACTGTTTGCATTTTACTATAAAAATGACCACGTAGAAGACTTTTGGAAGCCATTTTTGCCTTTTGCATATACTGATTTTCTCAAATAAATGCAGTAATATTGTAATAATTTTTTTCCATGGGCTTATGGTACAAAAAACAACAAAGCCAATGCATGTCTGTGGAACTTGGTTATTCAACAGAGCTATGTTTGCAGTTCCCCTTACCATTTTTGAAGGAAAAACAAATTTTACAAAGACAGACCTCAAAGAGGTTATTCAATATGTATGTTTCTGAGTATTAAAAAAAAAAGTAGCAATAATGGCCCTAACCATAGCAATAAACCAACCTAATGACTGTATACCAGAAATGGAAAACAACTGAGTCCCATACACAATTTCCTTTATATGGACAACTAAGTGCAACACAATTGGTATGCTCTCAAAAGGAATATAGGAGTGTGACAGTCTTTTTGGAGCAATGCAAGGAATAAGGCAAATTTTCTCAAATAGTCTGAAAAAAGTATTCAGTAGATGCTGCTGGCACTCATTCATATAGAGATTTCTTCTTCTGCAACTGAAGGAAAGCCTACCTCTCATGTGCTGTCTATCAGTCAGACAAACTAGTGAATTCTGTTATGCACTATAGTTACTATGAAACATTCTAATGGACTTTTATTTCTTTTTAACTAATGTTACAAAATAATCTATGAATTTAAAAAGCAAGGTTAAACAAGAACCAGCTGCTATACTTTCAATCTAAAAGCTACAATAGACAACTTTTCATATCAGTCTAGTGACTTTCATCTACCAATTTGCTGTTATCTGCAATAAAGCAAATTATAATTGCTACGAGGAAGATCATAATAATTAAAGGAATATATATGACATCCTACATTACTGCCTGGACTGCTTTACAGCCTACTTTAGTGAAATTGAGTAAAAAGAGACTGACATTACAGGAGAGTGTAACTGCTCCAAGGTGACCCTCTACACTGAACACTTACTATTTGTCCATTGCTATTTTTAGTGACAAATCTGGGTAGATCTCATTAATGACGTTGTAGACATGGTCTAATAATCTGATGAGGCTGGAACACTGTCAAGGTTTTAGACTTTCTTTTTTTAAACCAACAAACAGACTGAATACCTATCAGAATTTTGTTTTTTAATTTGTACAAATTACTGCCCTATACTTTGGTATTTAATGGCAATTAATGTCAAGGAAAATATCTAATTTTATGAGACTGAAAGTATCACTGTGGATCATATTCTGTGTTCTCTTGACGCTCCAGGGCCTTGTGTCCTCCTAAATGATAAAAGGCTACCACACTGGGCCTTGAAACCTATCATCCACCATGCTGAGAAACCAGGAAAACTCTACTCACCACCTTTTGGACAAGAGATCCAACTGCTACTGAATTGTCTGAAGTTTTATCAAATTTCTCCTCATTATACTCTTGGAGGCAATTTTGTTGTGGAAACTGAAAAGTCTCAAAATGTATTGCAATCTCATTATTTGGGATATTTGTTGATTGTGTTTCAGTAATGTTGCTCCCCTTGACTTCTGATTAAACTGTTCAATTTATCTGAAAGTCAAGCACTCAAACCCAGAGAAATACACAATTGCTGGCCATTTGTCTGCCATTTTATGTCCTCATCTCTGATAAAATCTGAGAAAAATGCAGTGACCTTGGTTCTATCCCACCATATCAACTCCGCTTTCCCTGCTGCCCAGCTCTTGCTTCACTAGCTGCCTCCCAGCTGCTCAAACACGAAGCAGGATGGTATCATTCACTGATGATATAAGTAGCTCCTCAGAACACCATGTCTTACCCTGATGACAATATTACACCACATCATCTTCACTGGTCATGTAGGAATTACTGTAATTTACTGTTTAAAATAACACTACTTTCTGATGTGGCCCGGCTCTTAAAAGTTTTTTATGCTGTGCATTGGATTACATTAATTTCTCTGTGTTTGTTCCACAACATCTCTGTGGGTATCTTAGTCCAAACTGAAACATGGCAACATGAAAAGCAAACACTTGGTATTTTTGCCCAAAAGCCCAGCATGCAGGTCTTCACAGCACCTCTCTCACAGCTCCTGAGAATTCTGGAGTGCAGTAAGTCACAGTGTCAACTCTTTCAGCATTTCCATTTCCTTTTCCAAATGCTACGACTCAAGTTTCTTTCATGTCAAACAAGCAGTTATTGACCAGGTCTTCATCCTACAACTTTACATCACCTTTTAAATACCCTAAACACAGGTCATTCAGTGACATAAATGTTACATAAAAACCTGGAGACCAAGCAAAAAATTACCTGGTGTCCCAAGAGAGTACTTCACATTTTATATATATCCATCCATCACCAATACATGAACTCACCTAAAGAACGGGTAAAATTTATGTGGGTTCTTGCTCTTAAAGCCTGTTCTTTTGCACCCAGTTTGTGAAATGATCAGTGGAAACAATGACTCTTTCTGGTCCTTCAGTATTTGCTAAGTTGGCTCTGTCCCAGTATTCCTTCCTACGCCATCCTATTCAGAGTTAGTTTAAAGAATGTTCAAGGTACATGTGGTACAAAGATTTTTCAGAGTACCAGGTGCACACTAGGCCTGAAATGTGTGTGGCTGTACAGTAAGTGGAAAAATACAGAAACATGGAGGCAAAAGAACAAGCAAGAAGATAGTGGTGAGCATAATAAAAGCAGAGAAAGACATATGAAAGGGTACAGATCAAAAAGCACTGAAATGGAACAAAACTCAAAAGGAAGAGTAAATATAGAAAAAGACTGCAACAGACCAAAAAAAGGTATTCTTTTTATCTAATGAAAAATGAAAAGACAACCTACAAAAATATATACTGTGTGTATAAGTGTTTGTGCAAGTAGATATAAGTACCAAAACCACATCCTACCATTTTTCTTAACACCTGCAATACCAGACTTTTAAAAATTACAATTGTTTTGACAAGTATTTAAATTACTCCTACCTTTCAAACTTGGAGGACTGGGCTTGTGTAAACAAAAAAGAATGTGACCACAGATCTGAACCCACCAGCTGCTGGCCTTTTATACCAAGATTTTAAACCGCATCTTATGTTTTAGTTGTCCAGCATCAGCAATGGAAGAGGGTTTGTTTAGAGCTACCATGTCTTTTCTTGTCTGTGTTATCTTGTATTTTGAAAGCATTTCAATATGTTTATGAAACACACAGGGAAAAAAACTTAAAATTACCTAGCAGACACTGAAGCTAAGAGGTCTTGAGAAGCTCTGTATCGCTCAGGGATATGGAAAATTTGAAAAACTCATTCCAAGTTACTTCAGAAGTTTGAGCCACAGACCCATCAGGATGTTGGAGTTAATGGGTAAATTGCATGGAGTGAATCACTAACAGCCAAGGGAACAGGAAGGCAAAAGAGAGAAGCCTATATCTGACAGCAGCAGAAAAACAGGCTGTAAACCTGCTGTGGGAACAGAGAGAAAGGGTAGAAAAATGGAATATAAAGCACTAGGCCTCTAATTGTTCCAGATAAAAAGAAATTATATGCATGCTTAAGTATCTGAGAGAATACTGTAGCTTAGCACAATCATTAAACTTTGCTACAATTAGGAAGCCCTAAACTAAGTGTTCAATTTCAGGATGAAGTTTTTAAGTTGAACTATATAAAAAGTCTTTTATCTCTTACCCTTCACTGCCATGTGAAACCACCCTCGCCCCCAAATAAAACTCCATTTGAGAAATGAGACATCAGATGCAACACTGCACAATCAGGATACGGCTAAGAGTGCACCTTTCACTTTCTTCCGAATCATTTTGTGTGTTTGCATAAGCAGCCTCCAGTTCTAGATGCAGTGTACTAGCACAGATCTGGGCCTACACAAACTCCCACTGAAATCATCGGGACAAGTGACAGATTCAAGACCCTAAACTCAAACATCTTTCTGACTGGTCAGGGCCTTAAGCCTTATGCTCACATAATATAAGGGAGGCAAAGCCCTCCTGAAAACAGGAATTCACCTGCGTCTCTAGGACAGCAGACAGTCAGGTTTATCTAGGCCCATGCTGTTGGCACAAAAGTTTTGTTTGCGAATGTAAACACAAAAATACTATTTTTATAGTAATGCAAAATTAATGAAATGCAACATGCCATGTAAAAATCAGCATACCAACCTATTTCATGAGTTTTCCTACTAAACAGACTTGACTTTGGTGACACTCCTTTAAATTACACTGACCTCAAACGGTTTCGAGTTTGGTAACTTATCCTACATGAAAATGTGTACCCGTTAAACACCTGGTAATCTTTATTACCTTTTGACAGTAAAGTTTCTATTCTTGTAATCTGAAAATCCTCCACCTGTTGAAGCTCATGGCTACTGTACTATCACATTCTTTTGTCCCGTTTTATAAACGTCACCCGTGGCTCTCAGAACCCTTCCATACGCGATTCAAGTGAAGCACGAGCACACGGCACTGGGCACAGCCCGGTCACCCAGCCTGGCTGCCGCACCGGGGCTGCGCTGCTCTCCCGGGCTGGCGGCAGCGCCGGCCCGAGGCCTCGGTCAGTGAATCCTCGGCGATTTCAAGCCAGCAGCAGCCTCAGCGCCCGAAACCTGCTCTCCGCAGACCCAGGGCTGGGAACACACGGAGAGGTTCTCAGGCCCTAGCTCCCGGCGCTCACAGCCGTGCGGGGCGGGGACGGCAGCAGGGCAGGGCCAGCGGCAGCCGTGCCCGGCACAGCCCAGTGCCTCCCGCCCGCCGCTGCCCCCGTCACCGCCCCTGGGCCCGGGCCGGTCCCCTCCCGGCCGCTGAGCCCCGAGGCCCGGCAGTTCCCCCGAGGCGCGGGGAGCAACGGGGCCCCGCCGCCGCTCTACCCTGGCCCGCGGCCGCCCCGCCGCCTCACCTCGCTCAGCAGCCCCTGCCAGTCGCTCTCGCTGCGCTGGGAGCTCATGGCTCCGGCGGCCCGCGGCGGCGACCGGCTCCGCCCGCCCCGGCCTTCCCGAGCAGCCCGCGGGAGAGGCGGGGCCTGCGGCCGCCCGTGCGACCGGCCCTGCCCGCCGGGACCCGCCGGGACCGAGCTCCGCACGGCCGAGCGCCGGCAGCGCCGGGCCCTGGTGCCCGGGCAGGGAGGCCGGTCCGCGGGGCAGAGCGGCGGGGCCCGAGCGGCACCTGCCGAGGGCTGTGCGGGAGTGTCCGGGTGCGTGTCCCAGAGAAGGGCCCTCCTCTCCTGACGTGCTCCTCCAGTGTAACAGCTGGGCACTGCTGCCGTCCCAGGCTCTGGACAGCCAGGCCTCCGTCAGGACTGGTCGATGAGGCGGCGGACATCAGGGAGACTGTATTCCTATATATGTGTAACAAACCCCTTGCAAGTTATGTACACGCTTGTGTTGCGTGTGTAAGGTAAGACATAGCAGCAGGACAAGGAGATAGAAAACCATTTTCTCAAAATATGATGGTGGAACACTGCCCACGTTGGGCACAGATCTTTGTTGTCACTCAGTTCGCGGAGGTGTAAATAACGTAATGACCCAGGACTTGATCTAGCTTCTTTTTCACCCCACTACCACAGACATTCACTCCCCATCAGCACTAAAACCGAAGCACGGCACCCACAGGGCGCTCTTCCCCCTTCCTGATCCCTCTGCTCAAGCTATACCCTCTGCAGCCAGAGCTGAAGGAACGTCCATCCCCATGGACTAGATCTACCCTGAGGCACATAACAGGTGATCTTTATTGTACTCCTAACACGGCGAGTGTCCCCAGGACTTATGTTTTCCAGGCAGAGTGCAAGTGTAATTGCATGGAGCATTTGAGCAGTTTAACTCACAAGTACTCTTTGTTTTAGATAACAGCACAAACAGCACAAGACAACACGTTAAAATATGCATGCCTCATTGCTCACCACAATTTACCCACTGTTAAGATTTGTTTGTGCTCTGGCATCTAGGCACAGTGTCCTTTTGTTTTCTAAACTGACTTCGAGAGCCTCCTTTGACAACTTCGCATCCCTTTGCGCAAGGGATGTTGGCCTCGCCACTGACAACTTTTCTGTTCCCGGTGCTTACTTGACGGCTTATATGGGAAGAAACATAGGTCACATCTGAACTCAGTAGGAGGTCTCTTTGAATGGAAGATTATCATGTTTAATAAATGCCTGTGGTTATGTCCATATTAAAACAAAAAAACAACAACAAAAACAAAAAAGTCCAGGAGAGCAGCTAGCTTTAGTATGGAACTTCAATTTGGTAATTAGAAAGTTTACACATTTTATCTGCAAATTATAAATCAAACATAGACATTTGCTCCAGTTTGTAGCCCATATCCTCCTATATTAGCTGTTCCTCATCTCTAGGCATTCTGTAACTTTAATGCTCTAGAGAGTACATTGTCTTTCCTCTTTGTTCATATTTTTTTGTGGTTTATGTTGTCACATGTGTGATATATCACAATCCTGCATGTCCTCACAGAACACCATTTCTGAAAACGCCATCATGTTTGCAGAGGTAAATAGCAAATAATTAAAATTAAATTAACAAGAACTATAATTTAAACCATTGATTAAAAGGATTGTTAGTGATCTTAGAAACTCAATCATTTTCTTAGTGTTGTTAATAGTTAGAGCTATACAACTGCTAGTGTAGGTGAACCAAACAGAATCTTTTTCCCAGTTTCTCGTTTGCAGAATTTCTCTCCTCTGTTTTTTCGGTCGTGTAGCACTCTGGACTCAGAATGCTCTTGCAGAAACAGCTCCTATTATTGAGGCATGTCAGTCATTTTAATCCCAAATCTGCTCACCCTCCTCACAAACATAAGGTTTTAATTTTTATTGATGATAAGTATTCAAATGAGAAGTAAATATTCATGAAAGAGAGGTTATTAAAACAAAAGGAACTCTCAATGTTTCCAGCTCTTATGATTTTATCAAAAGGTTGATAAGAGCTGGTGTTTTTCAGAAAGCCCAAGCTGTTGGATGAGAATAACCACTTTCTTTTGAAGTAAAAGAAAGATTCAAGGGAATAAATAAAAAATAAGCTGAAATGTGCCTTGAGTACACTTGATATGATCAGAAAGGAAACAAAACGACCCAAATATGTATTTTTAAGTAATCACTTCTAGTGCCTGATATCAAGACTTTTGGCAGCTTCATCATCTTTCCTGATCCTCTCTGCCTCACCAGTGGTTCCTGAGATGCTCCTGTGTAAGGGTCCCAGTCAGGACCGGGTTACTCTGTCAGCCTCTAGGCAGGAACGTATTGAGATACAGTTACTGTCATAACTCAGACAAACAAGTAAAGAAGATGATAGAAAAGAAGTACTATCATCCTAGTTTATAGATAGGAAACTTGCCTAGGAAAACTGAAGTTAAAAACATAACCAGGGAGCGAAATTGTAGGTTTCAGGACTACCAGTTGACTGTTTTAATTGCAAAACTAACAGGATGTCTTGGCTCTGTTCCTACCTGCTGCAGTAACTTCTTTTGCACCATCACCTTGCCAACATCAGAAGAGTACAGTATTGTCGTTGAACATCTGAGACAAAAAAATCTCAACCTTCCTCTCCAGCTACCATCCCATTCTCTTTGTCTCTAGATCTGTTATCTTTGCTTTCTTCCTCTATATGTTCACTAGATAAAGTTATCTACTTCTAGTGTTTCATCTTCCTTCTCTGCAATTCTGCTTTGTGATCAATCTTTTCCTTGGTATCTTGAGTTCATCTGTCTTTTCACCAGACTACCCTCCACTTCTCTAAGCATTTTCTACATTTCATTAAGAAGGATTCAGACTTTCTAAAAAACATTTTTTTTGGCCTAGACAATTATGCATTCAGAGTCAGATCCAAGCTACTGTGGCTTGTTGATACAACTACTCAGGTAGACATATGTAGGAGATTTAAGCAACAGTTTTCACTTGCAAAAGATTTAATCAATAGTTTTAAAACACAGCTTTTAGAAATCAGTGTCTTTGTCATATATTAAGAAAGAAAACAGCCTGAGTTTGTATCCATAGGTAAGCCACTGAATGGATCACTGCAAATTTTGCTCCTTATTTTTGTCAGCATCTGTCTACTGCACTAACTTCATCATTACATCCATGTCTAACTCTAAAGAAATGTAAGAGTAAAAAGCCAGTGTAAATCCTTAAGATCTGGACAGGCTGTATAATTGAAATATAATGAAAACATGTAATGCTTGTCCACTGAAGGATGATTCAGTCTGACTCTCTACGGATGTTTCGGGGTTCCATTTAATCAAAGAATACCTCTGAATGAGGATATAACCTATCATACATAACACATCCATTTGAGTACTTTTGGTAATTTATATTAGCATTATTCTGTTTTATGTTGTTGCTAATCTGATGATAAACTCTCATGCACACATTTTGGAAGAAGTATACTATTCTTGTTGAGGATACCATTACTTTTAGCTTTTATCTGTTCCCCTATTTGTTTTCTATCCTTTGCTTTTGCCTTTCCTTTTTTAGAGGCTGCTTTTTGTCCATTTGTATTCCAGCCGCGCCTTCTCAATTTTCTCAGGTTCATTGCTGGTTTCACTATCCTGTATCAGCTCTTCTACTTCACATGCATGATCTGTCAGCAGGACAATATGATCTGCAGATCAGAAGCAGTTTAGCAGTTATTCATTTATGTTGAATCCTTTTGTGGCCAGTCAAGTCCATGAAGGACACATCTTAGGCAATCAACAAAGATCGTTAAAGTGATGGTGTTTCTCTTTTCCTCTTCAAATGGTTCGGACCTTCAATGTATTGCTTTCCTTTGTGTATTAGATGCTGCCTGTAACATTAAAATCGGGGACAGTCTTTATTTTCTTTTTCTTTTTTTTTTTTTTAAAGCTATTTTATGACTTGGCTGGTGCAACTGAATACTGGAGTTCAGAGTAGAGTCTCTCTTATAGAGAGAGAGAATGGAAAAAAGAGAATTTGGGGTAAGAGACAGGAACAGATTGTGATCTGCACAAACCAGCTCTGGGATGGAGCTTGGTAGTGAGGTCTGGCCAAAGGAGGTTAAAACCAAAGGAAAGCAGCAGTCAAAAGAAGGGAGTGCAGTGAGTGGGTGGGCGGGATGCTCATGGAAAGCATTGAGGGGAAAGCTGTAAGTTGGTGGGGCAGAGGAGAGACTGCAAGTTTGAAAACAAAATCATTTTTAAATGAGTGAATACATTGTGCTGGTTTAAGAGTCAACCAGCAGGGGAAATGAACTCAACTCAAAGGAGAGACCACAAGTCAGAATAACAATTTATTAAAACAACACAGCAAGCACAATCACACAAACAAACAATTGGTCCTAACCCACAAAACCCACATGTACAACCCAGTACCCTGGGGCATGAACAAAGTGGTGTTCCCTGGGCCCCGCTTGAGTCCAAAGTAAAGGGAGAGGGGAAAAAACCTGCTGGTGGGAGAGCTGTTGCAGTCTGGTCAGAAGCGGTGATTGCAGTCCAGCTGAGGTTGAGAGCAATGAACTGCAGTCTTCCTCTGGATCCCACGAGTGGTTGAAAAGTTCTGAAACTCCAGGTTTATATATTCTCCAGTTCAGGCAGGAATGGTCAGTTCTTTCCCTCAGGGAGTTC